TGACACTTCCACTACATCTTATTGAAGTTGTCTTGTTTAGGTTCTTATAAGACAAACCCATTTCACCCAAAGTAGAACTGTTTGCATGCGACTCCACTGGAAAAAGAACTGAACTAAGTGTGGGTTTTTTCGAGAGTCTTAATTAAATCCGTCATAGGTTGGAACTTTGTGGCTGACGCGTGTTCCAGAATCCAAAATAAAACGATAACTTCCACTGACGTCCCGTTTTTGCATTTTTATTTTAGAACAAAGGCGATAACAAAAATGAACACAGCTGAAAATATGCCTCCTAAACTTTCATAAATCAAAATCTAAGGCTCCACATGGTAACAACACAGGTATAGCGTGAGCATGGCACGGTCAGAAAACTGTGAGGCACCAACCTTCCTCCTGCCTTGTCAATTTTACAATGGCTACCTTACTGGGCACCTGGTGCAGAATTAAAACATCATTAAAGGGCCGGACTTCCGGAAGCAAATTTCAAAATACTCCGTTCAAAACTCGTTAATCTGCTCACTATTTGGATAAAATAATTTATGAACGGAAGGAGAAACATGTCGAGTTATAAAAAATCGACAAAAATGCCCAAAACTCAGGATAAAAGTGCCCAAGTAGCTCAGACTAACACATGTCTGAAGCAAACTAACGACAACGTGGCTAGCTCGGAAGCTGAGAGCCCTGGAACGAACATGGACTCGGAGGGAATAATTAAGGCTATCGATGATTTGAAGACTGCTTTAAAGGGTGATAATGCAAAGCTGCAACAAAATATTGACCATCTGGGACATGAGATCAACGGTAAGCTGGACAATATTGCTACTGAGGTCCAGGGCCTGACAGAGCGGGTTGACGAGGCGGAGACCCGTGTTCATCAGGTGGAGACCTGGGCAAAGGAGGCAACCGAGGCGCTGTGCATGTGCATCGAACAACAGAGGAAAACACAGCTTAAGGTGCTTGATTTAGAATCTCCCTCCAGAAGAAACAACGTCCGTATATTTGGGGTACCAGAGGGAAAGGAGGGGAACTCAACTCCACAGTATATCGAGACGTTTCTGAGAAGCCAGCTACAACTACCGGAGGACCTGGACCTGAACATAAGCGCGCACATCGTACTCTGGCAACTAAACCCCCACCCGACGCACCACCGAGGGCGATTATTGTCAACTTTCTGGAGTTTTCCCACAAAGGAAAAGATCTTAAGAGAAATGTGGAAAAAAGGCAAGATCCAGGTGGGCTCTTCTATTATTCACTTCGACCACGATTATGCACCTGAGATAGTGAAGAAGCGCAGAGAATATAACGTTATCAAGAAAGTGCTCAAAGCGAAAGGCGTTCGCTTTCAAACACCGTTTACCAACATGAGGATCCACTGGGAGTCAGGAACTCGCACATATTCCAGCGCACGGGAAGCCTACAACGAGCTGAAGAGACGCGGAATCCAGTCGGAGGAGCCGGTGACAGCTGACGGGGGGTCCGGAGCGGAGGCGAGTCTCCGGGCGCTGCTGGGCTGGCAGCCGGCGGAGAGCAGCGGCGCGGCGCTCGCGCTGAGAGCCAAGAACAAACTGCAGGATTTCCAGCGGAGCATGGCCGAGTGAAAATAGGCAGAATAACATAACGCAACATTATTTTTACTGGGCTCTGATATACTATTTGGTGGGAGAGGACACTGTTTTTTTTTCTACGTTGGACTAATAGGATGGACGTGTTTTTTCCTAAAGGCGCTTTTACTGTCCTTTTTGGGCCCTCTCAGTTCGAGAGGTTTAACCCTCGACTTGCCAACGGGGTCACGAGTGAGAAGAGGGAGCTTCTCCTCACCTTGGAAGTCAGTTTGTTACTGTTCTGTTTTGTTATTGTTCGTGTTCTGGATCCAGGGGCCAAATCAGTCAAGGTATTTCTATACATTACTGTCATATAACTTAAAAGTTGCTTCCTTGAATGTAAACGGTTTGAATAGTCCAGTGAAGAGAAAAAGGGCCTTAGCTAAATTGAAGAAAGATGGGATACAAATCGCTCTTTTACAAGAGACGCACTTGTCTAAACAAGAACATGACAAGTTTAAGTCATTTGGTTACCTGAACTCGTTTTATAGCTCCTGTAGAAATAGTAGAAAGAGGGGGGTGGTCACCCTAATTTCTAATTCATTGAACTTTGAATTGATTTCTGAGAAGGGAGATAAAGAGGGCAGATTTGTTATAATAAAGGGGAGAATTGATGATGTTGTAGTCACAATAGCTAATATATATGTACCGCCAGAGAGCGACAGGACTTTCTTGAAAACGTTCTTTGATACCATTATCTCATTTAGTGAAGGAGTTCTTATTTGTGCCGGAGACTGGAACACAATCCCTAATTATGTCCTAGATACAACAAGCCATAAGAAACAAAAAACGGGTCGGTCAAAAGATCTAAATGTCCTGATCAGGGAGATGGGACTGTTTGATGTTTGGAGGGCTCTTCATATTAAAGAAAGAGACTTTACTCATTACTCTGCTACCCACAAAGTCCACTCCAGGATAGACCTGTTTTTGATGAATACCATTGATAGATCTAAAGTGAAGGAATGCGTAATTGGAACATCGGATATTTCAGACCACAACATTATCTATCTGACCATCAGTTTATCTAATAGGCCTAAAACAACATTATGGCGCCTAAATATAGGCATTCTTAATAATGAAACCACAACGAAGGAGATTAGAAAAGAAATAACGGAGTGTGTAAAAGACAATAATAATGGGCAGGTAAACCCCACCTTGGTTTGGGACACTGTCAAGGCAGTAATGAGAGGGAGACTAATTTCTAGAACTGCTTATCTGAAAAAAATAAAAAGGTTAAAATATGACGAATTGGAAAAAACATTGAGGAAATTAGAATTAAAACAGCAAATGACTAAAAATGGAGGATTTTCAGAACAAATAACAAAAACCAAAAATAAAATAAATGATATGATACTTGAGGAACTTGAGGAAAAACTACGATTCTGCAAACAAACATTTTATGAATCAGGCCCAAAAGCTACACGGATCTTAGCTAGACAACTTCGTAAACACCATTTGAAGCATTCGATTACCAAAATTAGAGAATCCTCAACTGGTAACTTAACCTATGACATGGATAAAATACACAAGACCTTTGAAAATTACTTTAAAACACTATATTCTGATCCAGGACCAGTTAACGTAACTGCTATTGACGATTATCTGGCAGCTTTGGATCTACCTTCACTTGGTCTAATCCAAAACAAAACTCTATCTGCACCCATTACGCAGAAAGAATTAGATACAGTTATAGGACAATTGAAAAGTAATAAGTGCCCAGGTAGCGATGGATTTTCAAATGAATGGTACAAGACATTCAGGAAGGAGCGTTCTCCTGTCCTGCTTGAATCTTTGAACTGGACATTGTGCAGGGCTGAGATCCCACCATCTTGGAGAGAGGCTGTAATATCTGTCCTGCCTAAAGAAGGGAAAAATGTTGAATACTGCGAATCATATCGCCCAATCTCAATTCTGAATGTCGATTATAAAATTTTTACATCAATAATCTCTAGGAGAATGGAGTATTACTTGTTAGACCTAATACATGAAGACCAGACGGGATTCATCAAAGGCCGACAAACTCATGACAGCATAAGACGAACATTACATATCCTAGACCAAACCAAAAAGCAGGGCCTCA